CATCTAATATATTATGTATTTTTGTAAAACAATTAGACCGCCTATTAAATCGTCTAAGTTCCGATTAGGCGTTCTAGGCATTAGGCGTTCTTGAACACTGCTTTTTATATGTAACAAATAAATTAACCCTAATAATAATCTCTATTTTTTTCGAAAATAAACTTAAAACTTTTGGAAAAATTAAAAAGAAAAACATGAAAATAAAATTTTAATCCCTTTTTAAAAAAATGGTTAAACTTATTTATGTAGTATATTCGCTTAACTAGTTCATGGTGATTTAGTGGTTGAATAATCCGCTTTAAATTTTTTAAAAATCATAGATCGATCATTATAAGTTATTAAAAAAACTACGACTTCCACAAATCATGAGGATTAGTCTTCATTTCGGTATTTGGACTTAATTTATTCAAAGAAATATAATATAGGATTAACTAGTTGTAATCAAAATATGTAAGAAGACTCAATATAATTTTTTGCTCAACTTTAAAGATTTGGTGATTACCCACCAATTTTTGTTCCTGTCGATTTTGTGCTAGCTCGAAAAGTATTCACCAATTAGATTTCGACAGCTATAATACACACTTCGGTGTACTGTAATAAGAAATTATCAATCGGCTTGAATGTCTAAATAGTTATGATTTGAACGGAATAAAATTTGGGTCATTCCATTTTCAAAAGTTCTTACGAACATACGATTCCATTTTCAAAAGTTCTTACAAAAAAAACAAGAAAACATTGGTGTGACCTATCACCAAACACCAAATGTACCAAACATTAATATATTTTGTTAAGAAAACATAAAACAAATCAAAGTGATGTCTCGTCAACAAAAGAGCAAATGACATTACATTTACAAATTGCAATAAAACCCTCAGCCGTACGGACAAAATCAGATCTAACGCATCGTTTTGTCCGTACTTTTAACTCTCTTCATTCTCTAACCGTTCGCTTTCCACTTTTCTTTTGCATCTGGGTCCTTTGGTTTATTATTTCCTTTTACATTTCACCACATTAATTAGAAACAACCTCAAATTTCCTATCAATCAATTACTTCAATCTTCCGGTTTTGGTAAAGCTATCTCTAACAACTTTTTTTTTTACATGTAATCTGCGTTTTTAAGATGATTTTTTTTAAGTGATGTATGGATAAATTTGAGTATATACATATTTTACTATATAGTAAAGTTAGTGCTTCAGAAAGTTGGAATACAGTTTATTTTATTTTTTTTGCTAAAGAAGTTGGAATACAGTTTAAGTATATACACTAAAGTTGTGGACTTGAAAAAAAAGCGACACAAAAATTTAAAATATGTTAGAAAGCAAAAGTTATCGATGTGATAATTCTAAATTCTTTTTTTTTTTAAATTTATGTTTGATCGGAGAGTATCAAATATATATTCAATTTCTATCTCTATTACAAAAAAAAATTATAATGACATCATATTTGTATTAGATGGTTTATAAATTATAATTGATGGGTCAACCACAAGTATTTTGAAAAACTATGAGTTTAAGTTTAACATTTGTGTTAAAGTTGTATTAGAGTTGTAACTTGTTAAGTGTTATATATTTGGTAAAAGATAGTTTATGATTTACGGATCTGCCACAAGTATTATCAAATATATATATGCTTTAAAAAAAAAAAGACAATTAGGTAAATGCTCAAACTTTTAATAGACTATAGTGTCTTTTTAGACTTTTTTTTTTTTGGTCACAGTGTCTTTTTAGACTATATACGTAGGAAAAATAAGTAGACTATAATATTAATTTTAATTAAAAAGCATATATATATATACCTAATTGTCTAAAAATTATAATAACAATATGTAATACAATCACTGTTTAGAACCAGCCAATCGCTCTAGTTTTGGCCAAATCGGTTAACAAAAATCAACTATACTTTTTAAAAAACTACGGATTATTATTTATATTTGAGAAATTTCAAAAAATGCCATTTTTCAAGTGCCACTTTACAAAAATGCCACACTTTTAAAATCTTTACAAAAATGCCGCTTTTTCAAAATTATTTTTTCTTTATATTATTTATGTTTTAGTTAATTATGTTCTATTAGGGTTTAATTTTGAGTGTTTAGGGGGTTTTAGGTGTCAAAACATTTTTTAGGGTTTAGAATTTTAAGATATAGGCTTTATAAATC